TTTTAATATGTGCCATTCTGACTCGTGTAAGGTAGTTTCTCACTGTGGTTTTGATTTTCATTTCTCTGATTATGACAGATGTTGAACATTTTTTCATATATCATTTGCATTTCATCTTTGGAGCTTTTGAGTTCTACTACCCATTTTTTGACTGGAGTATTTACTTTGTTTTTCTTGAGTCATGGGAGTTCTTTGTATCTCTTTGTGATCAGTCCCTTATCAGTGTGTGAAGTGAAAAAATTTTCTCCCAATTGGTAGGGTGTGTCTTTGTTTTGGTTAATGTCTATTAATGCTGTGCAGATTGCAGAAGCTTTTTAATTTGATGTAGTCCCAGCTGCTTATCTTTTCCTTCATTATCTTTCCTTAGGGGATGAGTCTTTAATGTTATAGGTATCTATATTTTCTTCTATGTATTTTATGGTTTCGGGTTTTATGTTCAGTTCTTTTATCCATTTTGAGTTATCTTTGTGCATGGTGTGAGATAATGGTCTAGTTTCATTCTTTTGCATGTGGGCAGCACACAATTTAACAAGGGAAAATACAGAATCTTGGAATTAGGTCCCCCAAATCTAATGAACCAAATACAAAAACAAAGGTTTATCAGTGCAAACATGTAAAAGACGTGGAGATTTTAGTTGACTGGATGAGTCAATAGTGTGGATGCCTGCCAGAAGCTCTGGTTTGACATCAAAGTTCTTTAATAGTAACATATTAAGAACAATTGAAGTCATGACACTTAGTAGTCAGACCAACCTTTGCATGACGTGTTGAGTTCTGAGAAACAGAGGGTGGAGGAGATAGTGACACTCACACTACTGACACTTCCAAACCCTGCCATATGAGAAATAGTTGAAGCACTGGATATAGTTGGGTAGAATTTGGTAGAATGTAACAGGGATGTCAAGTCTTTACTTAGATCCAAAGGGAAGACTTGAGGACACAGGGAAGTTCCAAGGGAGTAACTCTCAATTTAATTTGAGGAACTACCCAGTAGGGGAGGAGGTTGCACCTACATTTCCTTTAAAGGAAATTACACTTAGACTCCAAAGGGAGCAGTGAGCTCTTGGAAGCTCTCTGCAGGAATAGGGGCTCAGGGAGACAGAAATCACTGTTTTTTTATGCAGATATAGAATCTTACGGAGTTTGCCTATGTAGTTTTGGACCTTCAGCTTGTTCAAAGTGCCAGCTAAAGATAAAGGGCCAGTTCAAAAAATATTTTCATAGGGATCTCATTAATTATGTCTGGAAGTCCTTGTTCTGTCTTCGGAGGATCTGCTTATTTATCTTTTGTCGCATGTGTCACCTTTAGAACAAAGTGGTAGAGGCTGAAAGACCACTTGCTGTGGGGGGATTTTAAGCACTGGATAAAAACTGGACAACTGCTTCAAGGCCGCTTCTCAGAGAGCTTCTGACATTCTAGCAGAACCATAAGTAAGGGTTCACTATTTAGGGGGAGAGATGGGAAGTGCCATAAAAATCCTTTACCACATTGGAAAAAATACAAGGGAAAATCACAATGATGATCAAGTTCTATAAATTTTCATACAGTTGTGATGGGCTCTAAGTATGTCGGATATCCCGTCCTAGGTGTACTTGCATGTCCTTGACCCCCAGAGGAGGTCTGAAGAGAGATTACATCCCAGCCCCCTTTCCTACTCCCACCTACTCCAGGGAAGAAAAATAAGAAATACATATTTTCCTCCTACTTATAGAACACACTAGTCTTGGACCGTATTACCCCAGATTTTTTTAATGTGAGAGAAAATAAATCACTTGCTGAAGCCATTGTCTAAATAGATATGATTGTCCATCAACTTTGTGTCAGAAGGTAAAGAGCACATGTTCTCATAATCAGAGTAGAGATCTTTGATGGTGCTGGTCACTAAAGGAATTAACCAAAGAGTTGTTTTCTGTGTTATAAGATAATAAATCCGTTGATATAAAGACTGAATTTTTCAAAAGAAGTTAGACTTCACAATAGAGTTTAGGATTGTTTTATAAGCATGTTGCCAGCACAATTGGGAAAATAACTTGAATTTTAAAACATAGGATTTCTTAAAACTGTAATTGGGTTTGATACTTATTAGGTGTGTGACAGCGGGCAAATGATGTAACCTCCGTATGCTTAAATTCCTTCATTTGTAAGATGGTTAGTAATGCTTACCTTGAATGCTTCTTTGAGAATAAAATAGGAAAACAGAAAAAAAAACCAAAAAACCCTAACACAGCAAAACACAAACACTCAATAGCCGTAATTGACAGAGCTGTGGTTAAGCCATTGTCATCTTGCAGAAGGTAGAGTTGCCTCGAACAGTAATTGGGGTACATACCTTAAATGTATATTAACATTAACTTTGGGGAGCTAACCTCATCTTTCCTGAGGACATATGTATTTCCTAACCTTATATTTTCATGAAGAAAAGCAAGCATTAATTCCAGTCATTTCTCTGATCAATATCCCAGCAATGCATAGGAAGTAACGTCATTTTTTAACATTACTTCAATTGGGAGCTTCTTGGTTAAATTCCATTTGAATTAGCAGTCATTACTGCATAGGAGATAGATTTCCCAGAGGTTTAAGCTATCTTGGAAGTAACATAGGTCATGATGTAATTACTTCTGCCAGGTCATGGAGTGCATTTAGTACCAGCCTGCCATCCCAACTAAATGGTATGACCATGGTGTAGTGACCAGTGGGTACTATTTATGTGCCCCTTCATTTAATGATCAGTTGTTTCTCCAGAGGAGTTTCTTTAAATGTATTATGTGCATGACGCAGGTTCAACAGCTAGGAAAGAGGTAAGATGTGGTTGAAAGAGGTAAGATGTGTGTCATTACTTAAAGTGCTTAAGAAATGACTCTGATAGAATATCCATAGGGGCTAAGAGGTGGAATTTATTTCCCGGTTTAACATTTTGGCAGAAATCATTTGGCATTTGTTGCTGGAAAGATAAATGGAAAATACTTTTGGCTCCCTACTTTGTCTACCCTTGAAGGAATAGACTCAGTACTTTGCATTTAGTCAATTCTGGGAGTACTAGCACCCAGGGCTATTCAGTAGTTCAAAAATAAATATTGTAATACTTACTGAATATGTAACAGACATCTCATTTGACGAATGGTAATTTTTTAGTATTTACATAATACTTTGAAAGTATTTCAGAATAGTTCTTATTAATAACAAATTATCAAATACACAGATGGGCCCAGCATACAAGATAAAAATTAAAATTTGATTTCCACTGAAAAGTACAAGCTGAGGAAGTGAGAAAAATACATAGGTGTACTTGTATATTTGGAAATACATTTCCAAGCAACATTACTGTAAGTGGAGGCATTAACTGGATCAAGATGCAGGCTGTCCACTAAACCAGATTAGGGTTTCCAGGAAGTCTGCAACAGCTTCCATTCCCTGGACTTTTGTGAGAAAACAAGAAGCTGAACAGCTTTAGGCTCTGAGAACATTTGTATCCTTGAGGGGAGTGTATGAGCTCATGGGGTCCAGTGCTGACCTCCAGTCTTGGCAGCAAGGAAGTATCCAGTATTGAAACCTGGCCTGCAATATCAAGGGCCTATTCGCCACGTCCCCTCCCGCGGCGCTTAAGTGAGAAATCCTTAGAGGTTGGCACGGTCAAGGTACCGGGCACACGGGAGGAATACGTGGCCCTCCAGGAATAGAAGAATGGCTGATTCTCGAATGGTCACTGTAACTTTTGATTTGTTTCCTGATTCTGCTGACACACAACGTACTAAACCAAAGAAATGTTATGAACACTGTGCTTCGTTCTAATGATACTCTTGAAAGAAATGTAGCTTCCTCTGTTTTCGATATTGATTTAATTCTGAGAAACTCTGCTATAATCTTTAATTCTATTAAACTATTAACTTCTGTACACCAGGTGGCTTGTGAAAAAAAAAATGGAGAGAACAATTAAAAGGATTAGCAAGGCAAAAGTGATAGATAGGGTATTTGTTTAGCACCATTGAACCTTGAATACACAATGGTTTCTCAGGGCCCCAGATTGGTCTCGGGCCCCTGACATCATCTCAGAAACAATAAAAAAAAATGTATTATCTGTCACGCTTCTATTGTAAAAATCATTGTACCCCTATATTTGCTTGCCAAGAAAAATTGTATAAATGCTCTGCACTCTTAAAAATAAATTACATTCAGATATGCACTCCTAGAAGTCGTGTCTATCTGTCACTCAACCTCATCCTTGTCCACCCTGCGCCAGAATTGCCATCCCCAAAACTTGTCTCCTGCTCCTGCTGCGCTGGTCCGCGGCACCTATTGTGACAGTCAACTTCAAGCAGAAGCACTATTTCAAGACTGACTCAAGTTTTATCTCTGCAGTCCAAATTGGGGAACTGAGGATGATACAAGCCTGTGTAGTTTGGGAGAGTCTGGCGTTATTCTACCACAGAGGCACGGATGCATCCCGAACAAAAAAAGGGATGAGGCCACCACTTTGGCATCCATAACCCTCGCAATGGTGTCAACCTATGAATCCACATCAAAGTATGTGTTTGTGGGTGTGTGGCTGGTGGTGGGGACTGTTTCCCTTTTCTTCCCTGAATGGGGTGGGGGGTCCCACCGCTGGGCCACACCTCACTTTCCACCTGGCCAATTTTCTGTTTAGACCCGGCCCCAACCACATTCACTTCCCCACTACCCAATCCGCCATCCCATCTTTTCCCATGTCCAGAGCCCCGCTTCTGAGCGCTGGGAGAGGTTTGGAGGTTTGCTCAAACCTGGAGCTCTGAGGTCGCTGCGGCGGGAGAGGGCGCGGGGAGGAGCAGGACTGGGGGCGCAGCCGTGGTGGGTGCGCCCAGCCAAGAAGGGCGGGGGCGCCAGGGCGTGCACGCGGAGAAGGAAGGAGGGCGTGTGAGCGAGTGAGCCACGAGAAAAGGGAGCGCGCCCGCCGCCGCCGCCCTCCTCCGGAGAGAGGCTGGAGTGAGGCTGTGCGAAGCGCCGCATTTCAATGAGGACGGGCCAAGGCTCATCCCTGCACTAGCGGCTGTAGCCGAGACGCCCGCGCTCCAGCAGCTGCTGCAGCCCAGCCCCGGCCACGCTGTAGCCCCGCAGCCCTGCAGCCCCGCAGCCCCGGCTCACCCAGCGAGGACAGCTTCAGGAGGCGACCCCAAGCGCGCCCACAAAGACCCCCGGCGGCTTCTCTCCGCGGACCGGTGCGTGGTTTCCCGTAGCCGGGGAAGGTGGCTGCGGGGAGGGCCGGCGGTGGGCCCCACCGGGGATCCCGCAGCGCCCGCTCCTCCCGCAGCCGCCGGGAGCCGGCA